AAGTCTGCTCAAGGCGCAAACGGAAAGTGTCCTCGGTGCTTTGCTCCTTGAGGCCTTTAGTGGGTTGCTTGAAAAGTGGTTGTGGGGCCTCTGCTAAAGGTTCCTGCTGCTGTTCAAGTGGTTGTGGTTTGCGTGCAGTTGTGGGTTCAGGTAAAGTTGTCTGTTTTCCAACCAGCTTGCGGCCAGTGGGCTTGGAGGAAAGTTTAAAAACAGTCTTGCCAACAAAGCGTTCAGGAGCAGGCCCTTTAGGGTTCTCCGCTTTACGCCAGTTGTCGGTGAAAGTCTCTTTTCTGCCATCTGCATACTCAAAGTAGGTTACGCGTTCGTCCGAAAGGTCCTTCAGGTCTACAGGGCGATCTTTCGTCCCTTCGGGAGAAAAGAAAGTAGCTCTCGCTCTTTTGTGTATGCGGGTCAAAGTGTTACCCGAGAGCTCCCATTTATCAATGTGATACTGAACAACAGGTCTAAAGACGGGGGCCACTATGGTACCTTGGGCGCTCTGTGTGTGAAAAGTGTTACACACAACCTCAAACTCTTCTCGGTTGAAAGGTGCCAAAGTGGGCCTCAAGAAAAGAAGTGAACCATGCCTAGTGATGGGCACCTTGTGTCCATCAGGTGTTTCCAAAGTGTTCGCCTTCTTAGAAGAAAGGTTCACGTCAAAGCCTGACCTCAAAAGTCTGCCAACTGACACCACACAGTAGGGAACGTCGCAAACGTAGAAGTGTAGGAAACAGGGCTGACCCTCAAAGTCAACCTTCACAAGTCTCCTTCCAAAGACCGTCAAAGGCTGACCCGAAATGCTCCTCAAAGGTGGAGCTTTCCCTGTGAGTGGCAAAAGTGGCCACTCTGAGGCAAAGTCCTTCGGGCAACAGTGAGTTGCAGCACCTGAATCAAAGAGGATCCACGGCTCGGTGTCCTCCAAAGTCGAAGCAACCAAATGCTCCTCCAAAGCAACATCCTTGAAAGTCGTATTCAGATTCTTAAGATCAAGATCCCCAACACTGAAAAGTCGTTGGTTCTCCTCCGTGCGACCATTCAAGGAGAAAGTCTCAAGCGGTGCCATACAGGCCGTAGGCTCAAAGTTCTCACACTCTCCGAAACCACCAAAGCTGAAGTCTACAACTCCATTCGTCATCCCATCAACTCTGAAAGTGTTCCCCAAACCAAAGTTGCCGAGAACAACAGCCGACATGAGCAAAGTGCTCGGGCTGATGCTTGCTTTAGCTTTAGGCTTGGCTTTGGGGGTGGAAAGTCCCGGTGGTCCTTGCAAAGTCACAGCTGACACGGGCAAAGTAGCCGCGCCGCTTGACGAGGAAGCCTCTTCCTTGGGCTTCGCCAAAGTTTCGGCCTTCGCCGAAGGAGCAGCCTCTGAAGGCCAAGCTTCTGAAGTAAAGTCCGAAGACCAACCCCAAGGATCAACATCCCAGGACCAAGCATCCCAAGACCAAAGTTGATCATCCCAAGTCTGATCCCAACTGGTAGGGTCGTTGTAAAGTTCTGTGACCGCATTCACGGCCCATTCGGTCCAATCTGTCCAATCATCGGACTCACCAAAGTGATTCCAATCTCCTGCGTCCTCCGACGGGTAAAGTTCTTCACCTTCAACAGCTGAAACACGGTAGTTAGGACAGTTGCTCGAAAAGTGACCTGTTTTACCACATGTCCAGCAAACCGAAGTAGAGCTAGAAGTGGGCTTTCCTTTTCCTTTTCCTCTTCCTTTTCCTTTCATCATAAAGTTCCAATGTTGTCCTCCTTTTCCAAACGACTTCGAAAAGTCCTTTCCTTTTCCTTTTCCTTTTCCTTTTCCTTTTCCTTTTCCTTTCTTTCCTTTTCCTTTCCTTCCTTTTCCTTTCCACAAAGCTGCCGCTAAGGCACCAATGTCCATGGGAGCCGAGGCTCCACCAGCAAAAGTTGCATTCGCCGAAGTTTGTGCAACTGGATTCATCAAAAGTCGTGACCTATGGTACTCAAGGATAACTTCTCGAACCTGAGCATAAGTTGCCAAAGTTTGGGCATTCAACCTAAGGTGTTGTTGTAAAGCTCCAGAGGTTTTGTTCAGCAAAGTTGCAACAAGAACACCATCAGGCAAAGGTTGCCCTACTTGTCGTTCGTATCTACTCTTGATTGTCTCCCAAACATTAAAGTCCTGCTCAAAGGTTGCTGGGTTGAACTTAAAGTCCAACAGCTGCGTCAAAAGTGACGTACTCCGCGTGGCTCCTGGCAGCGAGAACTTCTTGTAAAGTCTCCTCCATGTCTCAAAGCCGTTGCTGTCCTCGTTCTGACGAACAACAAGTTTCGCCGAATCTTTCACAAGTTGAGAAATCAGGTAATGTAGTTTTCGGGAGAAAAGTACTCGGTTGGCGGTCTGTTCCGGATCTACATCACCTGTGCCCAAAGTGACTGTTAGATCAGCATCTGTAAAGTCACCTTGCACTGCCGTTCGCATTTCGGCATTGTCCATCAAAGTCACAGCACCTACCTCGAACATCGAAATGTACGCTTTAAAGTTCCATGACCATTCTTCCCAGTCTGCTGGGTTCCCAGAGAAAGTCTCTGGCAGGGGAAGCCGAAGCTTTCCTGTAAAGTTGTCTTCACCTCCTAATGCCATGTTGTTCTACCAAAGTTCCGTGGAGCTTTCAGCTCCGCTACCATGCGAAAGTACACTAGTCCAGAATGCGCACCAAACTACCCTAAAGTAATTACGTGCACAAGCTCACACGACTGAGACCAAAGTAACCCTGAAGTTCAGCAGCGCCTTTTCTCGTAGGGCAAAGTGGTCTTGAGCCAACGAAGGTTGGCAAAGTCTGGGGGAGAAAGGGAGGTGTTATTTTCACACAAACACACACACAGACAGAGACAGACAGAGACAGACAGAGACAGACAGAGACAGACAGAGACAGACAGAGACAGACAGAGACAGACAGAGACAGACAGAGACAGACAGAGACAGACAGAGACAGACAGAGACAGACAGAGACAGACACAGACAGAGACAGACAGAGACAGACAGACAGACAGACACAGACAGACACAGACAGACACAGACAGACACAGACACAGACAGACAGACAGACAGACACAGACAGACACAGACAGACACAGACAGACACACAGAGACACACACACGACAGACAGACAGACAGACAGACACAGACACACACAGAGACACACAGAGAGACACACAGAGACACACAGAGACACACAGAGACACACACACAGAGACACACACACACACCACACACACACACACACAGACACACACACACAGACACACACAGACACACACACACAGACACACACACACACACACACACACACACACACACACACACATACACAGACACACACACACACAGAGACACACACACACACACACACACACATCCAGACACACACACCCAGACACACACACCCAGACACACACCCAGACACACACACACACACACACCCACCCAGACACACACACACACACACACAACACACAACACACAACACATCACAACACACAACACACAACACACAACACACAGCACACACACACACACCCGCAGCCACAGCCACAGCCAAAGCCACACCCACAGCCACACCCACACTCACCCGCACCCACACGCACGCACGCACTGCGAGCGCGGTCTTCCCTAACGTCGGCGGGAGATGCTCCACAGACCGTGCCGCGATGGCCATGAGTCTGTCACCCACTCCGCCAAGTATGCAAAGCACTGCACTGCTGACGGCCAGCATGTCGAAGGCTTGCACTCAGGGGGCGGCACACAAAGCTCTCTTTGAGTGTGCGTGGAGGCTTCAGTGGCCATACCTTCACGAGAGCTTGTTTGTCAAAACTCGAACGTTGGTTGACCAGCATGACAACAGCAGCCGCAACGACAGGAAGCACGGCCTATGAGTGGTACAAGTCTGCGGTATAAGTGCTCGCAGGTTTTCAACCTCTGCGCTTGTGAAACAAACAAGATCAAACAAGACTCCAGCCGTCCGCCGTGGACTATACAATCTCACAGCTCTGACCGGAGCTGTCGCAACAAGTGCGGACAACGCACAAGGCCTTGCGTCTGCTTCTGGCAGTAGCACTCGCAAGACGTCTCTTCCCGGCAATCTGCATGGATCTTCTCGCAGTTGCACTCGTCGAGTCTTTGAAGCAAACCCTGCTCTGTATGAAGGTCGCAGTGAGCGCACGGTGGGCATGTGATGCTTGGATCGGGCCAAACATCTGCGCAGCTTTTCCCGGGAGCAATTTCTTCGACGTTGTAATGCGGTTCTGAATATGTCGCGGCACCATCCATATAAGTGCGAAACTTGCATCCCTCAGGCGACTCCTCGCAACAACGGTGGCAGGAGACTGGATGGGCAAATGGGTTTTCAACCAGCGTGTCTTCAGGGGAGCGGCAGCCACTCGTGACACAGCATTCTGTGTTGGTACAGCATTCAGCGTCTGCGATGGGACAGTCGCCCAGATCTTCCGTGTGGCATGAATCCAACTGCCAAGACCCTCTCGTTTCCACACATGAAATGCAATCAACTGCAGTGGAGCGCGCATCAAGGGCGCATGATGCCGTCACCAATCCGAAAGCCCAGAGCCTCATCAGCCATCTGAAGCTCCAAGCAAATCTCACAGGCTTTTTCGAGCCCGGCACGCTGCAACAGGGTGAGAATGCAGGGGCACATGTGCCGTCGCCGTGGCTTCTCCAGAATGCTCCAGAAAGTGAGGCTCGCACCAGCTTTCGGGCGACAGGGACTTCTATGACCTAGCCGGGTAGACAAAAAAGTTCGACAGGCGCAGAGCATAAACATGCCCTGCCAACACCGAACCATGTTCAGTGTTTCAATCGCCTAGGACCTAGGACGTAGAAAGTCCGCATACAGCAAGCAGCGCAAACCACAAGCAGCACTTTCTTTGCGGCGTTGCAGCTCGGTTGTCAAGCCAGCTTCACTTGCTTCTCCGCGCATTTGGACCAAGCTGATAAAGCATGAGTGCTCTCACGGCAGTGTCATAGTCGTCCCACCTGCGATTCAGCTGAGACTGGCGGCAGTCATTGCTGGTTTAGGTGCACTTTGAATGACCGTGTCGGCTTCCATAGACTCTATCTGCCCCTCAGATCGTCTGCACATCGACACAATGAGCAACAACTCACAAGCATTTGCAGTAGTAGCAGCAGCAGTAGAAGCACAGGAATGAAAAGGTGCTGGTATGAGTACTAATCGCAGTAGAAGTAGAAGCTGTGGTAGTATTTTGTACTGGTGGCTGCTGCAGCAATCTTAGTAGTAGTAGTAGTAGTCGTGGTCGTAGTAGTAGTAGAAGTAGAAGTAGTAGGAGTTGGAGTTGTAGTAGTTGTCGTCGTCATCGTAGCAGTGGCAGAAGGAGTAAAAGAAGTAGTAGTAGTAGTAGTAGTAGTAGTAGTAGTAGTAGGAGTAGTAGTAGAAGTAGCAGCAGCAGCACTAGAAGTAGTAGTAGGAGTAGTGGTGGTGCTACTACAAGAAGCAGTAGTAGTGGTAGTAGTAGTAGTAGTAACAGTAGTAGGTGGTAGTGGTGGTGGTAGTGGTTTTGACACCGGTAGTGCCAATGGTCGTACTGATGGTGGTAGTCGTGATAGAAGTAACCCACGGATTAGCAGTAGCAGTAGTAGTCGTAGTAGTAGTAGTAGTAGTTTTGTCACCCAGTAGTAGCAGTAGCAGTGGCAGTAGCAGTAGTTGTAGTAGTAGTAGCAGAAGTAGTAGCAGTAGTAGTAGTAGTAGTAGTAGTAGTAGTAGTAGTAGTAGTAGTAGTAATCGTAATAGTATGTGGCAGGAAATAGCAAACGGTAGTACTCGTCTGTGTCATTGAGAACTAGCGGCAGTAGTGGTAGCAGGCGGTACTGGTAGTATTGATAGCAGTAGGTAGTAATAGAAGTAGTGGTGGTGGGTAGTAGGAGTACTAGTAGCAGTAATAAATGTAATAATAGTAGCAGCAGTAGTAACAGTTGTAGCAGCAGCTGTAGCAGTACTATGCAGTAGTAGTCGTCGTGGTGGTTGTAGCAGTGGTGGTAGTAGTCGGGGTAGTAGGAATACCAGAAGCATTGATAGTAGTGGCAAGATGTATATCAGGACTCGTAGCAGTACTCGTAATGGTACTATTTCTAGTAACAGTTAATTATTCTTTCACGGTGTTGGTCTTTGCGTGAAACGGTCCGGCAAACACATCGCAAGCAAAAAGCAAGCGTAGCTACCGAATTGAAGTTCATCGGCCTGCAAAGCCAATCGAGAAATTGCGGGTTGATCGCGGAAAAGCCGTAGAATGCACCAGCAATTTGCCCTGACAGGATTGCTGTCTCTGGCGACCTCTGCGTGCCTACGCATTCGGGCCTGTTATAGAGCCAAAGCTGTCTGCATCACCGTTCAAATTTACAGCTCGTGTCACGGCTTCATCGAAAGACCTTGCAAGACAAAAGCAAAAACTGCTCAAACAAAAATTGAGCACACGCGGCCTACCTGGTGTGGTATACTGCCCACAATGCCCCGGCAAGGCCGTCCAGCCTCAATTGCTGCCATCGATCGGACGGAGGTGGATACTTGGACTGCTATTGGCAAGCAGAGTTGGCAAAACCAATGTTTTGTTTTCGGTGTCAACCCTTGCTTCCCATCTGCGTCGGAAAAACCTCAACACCACAGTCCTTGCCCCCTTCCTTTTCGTGCGATAGCCAACTGCATTGAAATGATGGCAGCTTTAAGTTAAAGAACCAGTGTCCGATGCAAGTCTGTTGTTGTCCCGGAGCCTAATCCCGACCATTGCTCGTCTCGAATGTCCGATGACTTGATCATATTTTCATGTTTGGCTACCGACTTCCTGGAAAATCATATAAAATGACATGACATGTAACTGAACAAAACGGTATGTACAGATACCAAGGTAGTTAGCAAACTTACAAGGGCAGCACAACTAACTACACTCATGCTTCAACGGCAACGGGCTGCAACGATGGAAACTATTGGAACTCGTAATCACAAACGCACGCCCACTGCTAGCGGCCAGCGCGGATGCGCAGACTTCATGCCCAGTTCTACATCAATTTTTGCCTTGTGACGTTCCCCACGTGCAGGCGACTGCTTGCGACAAACAAACTGCTTTGCATCTGGCATGGTTCAAAACTTTTGGGCAGATCTCAATTAAGAATCAGCTCACGGGAAAAACCGCAGCGAAATTAGGACGGTAGTGTTGGGCTCGGTTTACGAAAAAGCATGCGAAAGGCGGATCTTGGCAGTTTCCCGTGATGGTCATGATGCTATAAATCGCGTAAGCAACACTACGCAACCAAACAACCGGAAGAGCAAAACAGCACGGGCGAAGCTCGCAAGCTTTTTGCACCTTGAAGACATCGATGCTGCGGGTAACTGCGTTCCGGCATTCTGCAACACCGACTGCACTCTGTACACTAAGCGATCAGCACATCGTGAAAAGGAAGCGATGCATCGCCTCACCGACACGTGACGGCGTTATGCCTCTGCCCTGGCGCGTCGGACGCTGGCTCGCCTTTCTTCTTCTGCTCGGTGTTCAAGTGACTCTGCGAGCGAGATCTGGCACTGTTCCCCGGCAACGATTTGGTAGGGCAGTCGGCATACTGGGCCACGTCGGAACTCAATGGGTACACTAGCTAGCGTATCCTCCCGCCACCTCCCACTACACCTCCGGGAGTACGTAGCAAGCCTAGCTAAAGCTAACTGGCTTCACGCAGTAGCACGGACAACACGAACTTCTCTCTTTTTAGCGTTGTGGCGAAGTCCCGCGTTAGCCCGGAGAAGAACTCTAGCCTTTGGCTAGCTAATCTCCAGGGTGGGTTGGGTGGGCACTCGAAATTTGCCCCCCAATAGCTGGGGGCCTTTCAGCACAATGGCCACGGAGTAGCACTGCTTCACCGGCCATGTGCAGTCACTCTAGCAAACAGACAAGCTTCGTTCTGTTTAGCTTCAGAGGAAAACCCCTTCGACGTTTTCTAGCGAAACACCTTCGATGTTTCCCAAAGGGATACTAGCGCTAGCATACACTGTCGTACCTCGTCCCTCGGCACGAGTGCGTACACTAGCTAGCGTATCCTCCCGCCACCTCCCACTACACCTCCGGGAGTACGTAGCAAGCCTAGCTAAAGCTAACTGGCTTCACGCAGTAGCACGGACAACACGAACTTCTCTCTTTTTAGCGTTGTGGCGAAGTCCCGCGTTAGCCCGGAGAAGAATTCTAGCCTTTGGCTAGCTAATCTCCTTGCGCAGCCGTAGGGCTACCAGGGACCTAGCTTACGGGCCTTCTTAGCGAACCTCGGAGCCTTCGGCTCTCCGGTCCTTTTCCTCACTCCTAGCTCCTGGAAGTAGCTAGCCGAGTGTTCGAGGAGACGGCCCAGCACGCGCCACTCTAGCTTTTCCCCCTCCAGGCTCACCCTGAAGTCCGGGGAGAAACTAGCGAAGTTCTCGTTCGTGAGGTCGTCCGCTAGCTGGTTCAGATCCCTGCGGATCCACTGTAGCTGAAGCTCACAGTTCTTAGCGGAGAGTTCCTCTGCTAGCTCCATCAACACCAAGGTCGACGGAAACTTCGTCGTCATAGCCTTCTTCAGTAGCGCCTCTTTTTTTACTTGTTGGGTTCTCGCGCCGCCCTTGCAAGCAAAGACGACGTGTCAGAGGTCACAAGTCGAAACAAGAGCAAGCGTGCTGTACCACAAACGCTCAGGTTTACTCTAGAGGTGCAAGCCCAGCGGTAGCCGAAGTCCTTCGCGGGGTCTGGCACTCGAGTGAAAAGCTAACTGTGTCAACGACCGGAGGCTTGAAGTGTACAAGAGCCTCCCAGGAAGCTGGCAAGAAGCCAGGAGCCAAGTCGGACAGAACTATACAGATGCAGGCATCAGGCACTTACAGACCTACCAGGAGCCAAAAGCACAAGTGCAGCTCCGTCTCAAAACAGCTTTACTCAGAAGTACAGAGACTAAGTAAAGACACGGGCAGATGCCCCAAACTTGAAGACTGTACATAGCGAACGTTCAGGTTTCACGACGTCGTAGAAGCTCAGGGGTCCGCGTCAGCAGCGCGCAGCGCAGCAGCCCAGCGCAGCAGCCCAGGCCACAGCAGCACGACGAGCCAGCGTAGAAGAGAGCCTCACCCACCAGAAGCGGCAGCCGCCTTGTCAAGGTCGGTCTTGCAGCCCGTTCAAGTACTCAGGCAGTACTCACCACAGGCCGGGAGCCGGAGGTGAAGTACCGCAAGCGCAAGCGGGTGGGAAAACCAGGACTAAACCCTAGCCTAGGCCCCGTGGGGGAGGCCAGGTGCAACAGGCAGTCAAGGACGGACCTCCCGAGGGAGGGTTCGAAAGTTTTCAAGGTGTTCGTACACAAGGAATGTTCCTGGTGTCGTCACAGTGCATCAGTGGCAGCCCTTTCACGTGGGAGGGGCCAGAGATTGGAGATGATGGTGAAGCCTCTCGGCCGTTTTTGCAGACGCTCTAACAGCTTGGAGTTCCCACCTCTTCGCAGCGCTGGCGTCCTGAGCCCACTGAAGCCGAAGGGAACCGCGGAGTCTGCGCTCAACACAAGCTTTGGCAGCTGCATCGGCAGCGTCGTTCAGCAGGCGCACAGCAGCAGCATCAAGATCGTTGTCATCAGGTTGCCACGACGGATGTTTGCCGTGAGAGGGCACCCACAACAGTTTGACACCGACTTGCGTGGACCTAATTTCACGGAGAAGCGAGGCAATGGTATCGCTGAACAGGGGCATTGAAGGGCAGTGGTGCACAGCCTGTAAGGCCGCCGCGCAGTCAACTGCAACTGAAACGAGCCCCGCAGCACCACCTGCAGCAGCAAGAATGATGTGAGACTTTCTGTGGAGTGCAGAGGAGATTGCTTCAGCAGATTCTTGAATCAGCCCCTCGTGATCGATCGCCGGCGGGGCCGGTGGTATTTCACGAAGGTGTTTTGCAAGGAGACGCTCCTCTCCACGGTGCCCCGGCAGAGTAAGCCCTTGCCTGCGGCTATGACCTTGTTCGGGTCCCCCTTAGCGAAGGCCCAGGGGGCCCATTCCTTCTTCACCTCTAGCGAGAACCAGGGACCGTGGCAGCCGTCCACTAGCTCGAGGAAGCCCCCAATCCGGTGCCGCACCGTCCAATAGCGAGGCTGGCTTCTGGAGACGGCCTCCTGCTTCCAGGCGATCTGCTAGCCAACCACAGAGGACGCGAATCATCGTGGGTAGCGTGAGGAGCCCCAGCTTCCCCTGGATAGCCGAGGACCAGGCGTGTAGCGGTCCCAGGAAGGGGCGCTCCCAGTCTAGCGCCCCCAGGCGCCCTAGCCCCTGTGCGAAGGGTCGGGCCTCACACCTCCCATCTCGGACTAGCTTCCGTAGCCATTCCACTAGCCAGTCGGTTCTCTTTTGAGACAGGCCTGGCCTCCAGGTGAAGTACTCCGTTTCCATGCCTAGCCACTCCACCCGAAATCCCCCCCTCGTCTTGGCCCATTTGAAGGGGTACCCAAGACTAGCGAGGAAGAGATAGCTTAGCGGGATCCCCATGCGTCCTCTAGCCCCTCGGCCCAAGGACTCGAGGTCGTCGGCATAGAGTAGCATGTCTAGCGGGAACGATGGCCCTAGCAGGTGGTACGTGAGTCGAAGCCCACACGCCGCTATGCGGGTCCACCAGTAGCTCGCACATGATAGCCCGAAGGTCCCCACCAGATTGACGTAAACCGTCTGGCTGTCGGGGTCCCCCGGTATAGCTTCCTCGGTGTCGATCTGACACCCTAGGTAGCCATGCTCTCCTTCGGCGTGCTTGTAGCGTCGGTGAGCTTTAGCGATGTCGCCCACCACGGAGAAGGCCACCTCGTTAGCGTCGATGTGCTCCCGAAGTAGCTGCTTCTTCTCCCTAGCTCCTGGGGCCCGGATCTTGTCCCGGCACTTGATGCGGTGGTTGACCCGGACCCCGTGGGTAGCGTCGTGGATCATCCTCTTCTTTCCACTAGCTTCGTCCTCAACGATGACAGCTAGCGCGGCGATGGCTCGATGCTCGCCATAGCGGGCTTTGAACTCGCCTAGCGTCATCTTGGCCATGAGGCCCTCCGCCACGTCCTCTTCGAACTTTTCCCTAGCGAACTCGCGGTACTCCTCCACCAAAAAGTAGTTCGGGACCCAGGCTAGCGCCGCCTCCCAAGGAGCGTTCTCCAAGGGCCACTTTAGCTGTTCCTCGAAGACGTGGGGAGTGCGTGGTAGCGGGTCTCGAGGAGGAAGTCCCTGTCGGGGTCGCCGGCCGCGGTCAGTAGCGCCCGGATGAGGCGGAGGTATAGCGGCTGCCCCGGGGCCACCTTTAGCAGTTCCGGGTCTCCCAGGTCATTAGCTTCCAACCACTCTTTCCAGATCAAGCGTAGCTGCTCCTGGAGATCTTCGGAGCTAGCTAGGGCACAGCCCTTTGCCCCCCCCCCAGCCATGCGGAAGGCTTCCTTCTCTAGCTCTGCCTCCGAACCCACCTTAGCGAGGATCGTCTCCATCATCTTCTCCCGTAGCCAGTCCCAATTGGG